GGCTGATCTTTGCTTTTTTAACTCAAAGTGTCAAGTCTCAAAAATGAAACTCTGATTTTCAGGTAAAAATGGAGTAAACTTCCCACATTTCCCTCTAATATTTCATTTGTCTTTAGTCATAATCGTTAAATAAGCTGCCGTAACACAATGAAATCATCCTCTCTCTGTTTGCTGCTGCTCCATGGTGACGCAGGTGTGTGAGTGGAGAAGTGGCACATTAAGGTGTCTTAAATTGAAATTAGGCACTTCATCCCAGTGGCCCACGGCGATTCTGTTCATCGGTGATTGCAAATTGAATGACTAACATCCTCATTCAAACTTCAATCTATTTGAATCACTTTTATCATTCTTTCATCATCTTCCACGTTCCTCTCAGCCGCATCTTCTGCTGATACTGCACCGATCGAAACAAATAAGCTAAAAGATTTATGTTCGTAGTTTAGTTTTCAGCTCATGTCCACAGGCTGAGAGAGAAGCCAAGTACAGCCTGTCATGTTTGCAGGTTCTCAGTCTGGATGTCTAATGCAGGAGAAAACTGGAGATCAAGTTGAGTGGATATGATTTATGCAGGGAAACTTTGCTTGTGATTGCTGATTCTGTTGTGGAGGCATCCATGAAAAATTAATGTTGACCAAGATATGCATGAGTGCGTCTGAATTAATCTTGGTTGTTGACCTGTGGATGTACCCTTTTCCCTACCCTGAATGTATTGTTTGAGAAAAAGCATTGCAAGCCATACATTTCTAAGTAGAAAGTACCCCCAAGACACAAAGGCACTCCTGCACGTTCCATCTCAAGGTACATGCTGGTTTGGAGTTTGCCTGCTGCTGCTGTCATCAGTATTTTATGTCCAGGTAAAAGCACCAGCAGCATGGAAGCAGCTGCTAAAAAGCTTTACTGGAAATGGAAGACGCAGAGCAAATAAAGCTGATAAAAAGTAGGTTTGACAAAAACCGTATGAGGCATGCAGTAAGAATACAGCCCTGTTTCGCTGCAGCAAGACACGCGCCCACTTTTTTTTTATTATTAAAAGGAATGGATGCTCAAATAGAATCTGACTTCTGTTCACATGATGAATGTCTCACTTAGAAATGAAGCTCTGCAGTTGTTCCTTCTCACAGCTGAATACTGATGACCTGAAGATAGGAAAGCATAAAATATTTACAGGCTCACTGACACCTGGAGACCTCGTGTGCTTCACACTGCAGTGATCTTAGTGGGCAATCTGTTGATGAGGCTTATTGTTTAGAAGCTGGCTCGGCAATTAGGATTAGAAATGCTAAAGCAGAGCTGAAATAAAAAACAGAAAACTTCCTTCTGCTTAGGTTTAAGACACACTAGCTCTGTAGTAAATGGTAAATGGACTGGTTCTTATATAGCGCTTTTCTACTCTGTCCGAGCACTCAAAGCGCTTTATACAGCTAATTCATTCACCCAATCACACCCATTCACACAAGCACTTCTAAGTTTAAGTGCTAAGTATCTAACATTCATACACATTCACACTCCGATGGATGCATCGGAGAGCAACATGGGGTTAGTATCTTGCCCAAGGATATTTGGCATGCAGACTGGAGCAGCCGAGGATCGAACCACCGACCTTCTGGTTAGTGGCTGATCCGCTCTGCCACCTGAGCTACAGCCACCCACATTCCTTACTACTTTCTCTGTGTCCACTTTTCAAAGCTACACTGTCTGAGACGGAAACGGGGAACCTCCTTTTAGCTCCTTTCAGCAACTAATTTATTGCAGATTTGAGCTCAGTTCAGATTAAGCTCTTGTCACCGGTGCTAGCTTGTTGCCATCCAGCTTCTCTGGCTTTCCTCCAGTGGCTTCAAAGGACAGTGTGCTCCTGTGACTGACATTATGTAATGGGATTCCAGTTAGGAAGGCAGACATTTGGACTTGAAATCGTCACCATGAGAGAAGTCACAACACTGGAAAAGAGCTGCAACTCATAATTAGTTAGGATTTCTAAAACAAGCAGTGTAACAAATGCTTTAGACGTCTGTTTTTGAATAAGAAGCACATTCTGATAGAGGATAAAGATTAATGCCTCTCATTGTGATACGTCATTAACACACTCGATATCAGTACTTTGTCTGAACATACAGTCTCTAAATTGACTCGTCCAGCAATTAGTTGAACCAAACTTGTTTCTATCAGTGTATTTAGAGATTTGTGTTACTCACAGTGTTTTATGACAGCTTGTTTAGCTTATTTTCACTGTTAGCGTTTTGTCTGCTGTCATGTTGTTTCTTTGGAGCCAGTAGTGATACTGGGATGAGAGGGCTGAGTGCCAGGTTATAATCATCCGTGAACTGTAGACATGCAGTGTGAGACACAAATAACTGTTCATTTGTACTAAGTAGAGTCCAACACATTTATCAGCGGGCTGATATTATCAGTGTTGGGAAGGTTACTTTTAAAATGTATTCCATTACAGATTACAGATTACATGCCCCAAAATGTATTCTGTAACGTATTCCGTTACGTTACTCGATGAGAGTAACGTATTCTGAATACTTTGGATTACTTAATATATTATCATGCTGTTTACAACTACATGAATGTACTATTGCTGTGATTTATTACTGTTACTGAAGGTCCGCGGCTCCGAACCGTAGTAAAGGGACCTCTGGCTAATACGGTGGGTTCTGTGTCGGGCTCGTAGCCGAAAACTAGCTTTACTTTGTTGTCTGGGTCAACTTTGCTAGCGAGAGACAGAGAGAGGCGTTGAAAGGCTGCTCCAACAGAACTTATTGTTTCAGAGGAAAACACGAACACGGTGTACAGTCGAGTCTTAATAGCTTACTTACAGCTGGGCTCGTCAGGCACTCTTCTTGGCTGCAGTGGTTATTATTATATTTACATGCTTCCAGCTCCCGTTTTTGCTCGATGACAGCTCGTACTTTTCCTTTTTCTCCCTCCCTCACTCACAGACACATAACGGGTATGGCAGTCCATTCTCCCTGCAGCACGGACTACACTGCCCATGATGCTACATTCTTTAGAGCTATACCTGTAGCATTCTGCCTATTAGCTTAGCACAACAACAACAAAAAGGCCTCTCTCACCCAGGAAACACGCAGAGAGAGAGCGTCACCCTGTAACCATGGCAACCGTAACCGTGCCACCTGGAACAACAGAACGTAGCTGTCAAACAAAACCCAAACAGTCCTGACCCGCCACAATATGAAACAGGGAAGTACCGCCGTGTAATCCATTTATTTCAACAAAGTAACTGTATTCTAAATACCACCTTTTTAAACGGTAACTGTAACGGAATACAGTTACTCATATTTTGTATTTTAAATACGTAACGGCGGTACATGTATTCCGTTACTCCCCAACACTGCATATTATAGACTTATTATTTGCTTATACAGCAGGTAAATGAAGAGGATGGAGAATCAGCCTTCCATGTTATCAATGTTGACGTTGCATAGTTTGTCCACCAGAGTGCAGCTTGTCCTGTTGTCATGACATCTTTTGATAATAATCCACCAGCCGATCCGAGTCGGGCAGAACGTAAACGAGTAAATGGATAACTACACACAAACAGATTTCCAAAATTTTGGAATTTTAGGCAAATCGCGGTCAGTACTGTCAAACTCTAATATTATACACATAAAACACTCAAACTGCACTCAGCAGAACTGAAGCACAGACTTATTGAACACACTGTTAGAATATTAACCACTAAGAAAGTGATATTATTTGTTAGATAGCTGCACCAACAATGCTCCGAAACAACCAGCATACATGACAGATTTGGAAAATGCCATACAGAGTGAAGCCAACTGGAACTGGACGTGTTGATGACTGACTGCAAGTCTGTGACAGAATGTCTGTATCACAACATAGCCAGCTTTAGCAAAGGGCAAACTATCATCATGGCTATAATTCTGACTTTGACATTTTGATATCATGTGTATGAAAGTGATTTGATAGGCACTGGTAGTATTTACTATTAGATTGGTTCTTTTTTGGGAATCAGAAGCCCCTTATAAGATTTGGAGAAGTTTTCAGTACACTATTCATATGACAGCAACCAAGTATACCTGCCCACGGCTCGTGCACCTGGATAGTGTTTTAAAAATAGCAGGATTAGAGAATAAGGAGGTGCTGCTGGAACCAGATGAACTCAGGACTTTCTTTATGATTACAGGTTTTGAGAGAGGGAAGGAGGACCTCTTGCCACTGCCTTTGAAAGAGGACTCTCATTCCATATCTAAGAGCAAGGTAAGAAAACTCCACTGAGCTGATGCACCGTAAAGGCTAAGAAGGAAGGATGGGTTGCTTCAGTGTGTAATGAGACCAGAGAATAAGGGAATTACTGCACATCTCCTTTCCTTTTCCGAGTCTAGCCTAAGGCGTGAGAGAGCCTACATCGAGATGAATCATCAGTCTTTCAAGCGAGCTCAGCGTGGAGGCTCGTCGAGTTTATCTGTCGAGGTCATCATCAAATATGTCAGTGCGAACGTGGGTGTCTCGAGACTTCCTCTGAGTCACTGCACAGACACTATGAAATTGTTTTCATGAAGTATGAAGAGATGATGATCCATTCATGATGGTTAATTTAGAGATTAACAGAATCTCTCACAGAGAGGCTTGCCAGAAGGAAAACAAGAGTTAAAATAATGTGTGTGTATTAAAAACATCCAGATGACATCTTAGATGTAGAGCTGGGCGACAGAACGATAACAATATGTATTGCGAAATAACTTTTTCTCGATAGAAAAATTAAACTATTGCGATAG